ATCTGCAAAGTGAGGAAAGTGTCCCCTGCAGCAATGTACCTCAGCTACAAACCTCTAGGCACCATTTAGGAGAAGATCAGGGAGTCTGCACCAGTGCCCCAGGGCAGAGCCAGCCACCGCCTTGTGAAGCTGCAGCCCTGGTGTGCACTGACACGGGTCTGCCCAGGGTCACCAGGAGTGGAGACTGTCACGACAGGGCAGCCTCACACACAGCCAAACCCCTCCTAGGGGTGGCTCAGCCCACACCTGCCCTCCGATTGGGATTTAATTACAAACCTCTGTTACCGCTGCAGCCCTTTCTGGAAGCCAGTACCCCACACGACTCCCTTCTCCACGGCCTGGGAAAACTGGGCTTGCTGCCTTGTCCTCCGGCCCTTGCACCTTCCTTCTTTCCCCATGGCAGGCTGCCGGCACCTGCGGGGCCCCTCTGGCGTCCTGGCTACAGGGGGCAGGCCCATGCAGGGGTGGCTGCAGGGCAGGCAGAGTCTGCTCCCCCCCCTCGGTGAAGCCACAGCAACCAGGTCTCAACTCGAGGGGCTTCCCTAGCTCAGTCCATGGCAAGGCAGAAGCTCTGCAGGGCATCTCAAAGCACCCTCACTTTTACGGGCCATCTCCTTCACACACATGCCATTTGCCGTGGCTGCTGGCTGAATGGTTGCCAGTCATGGCTGGTACAAGGGGAAGAATTTCACCACCTTATCACCGCCTGTCCAGAGTCCACCGTCATTTTTACAGGGTGGGAGGGTGAGGCTACCATAGTGCTTGCTCTTTGTTGAAGGAGCAGGGTGACATGTCAGCTGTTTTCGCAAGGATTAGTTTAGCACCTTCCTGTCAAGGAGAAAAGTCAGGTCTGGGTTGAGGCAGAGCGGGGCACGGAGATGTGGATCGTGACTTACAACATCTATGCTCCACTGGATGGTGCTAAGGGCAGAGCTGCTGTCCCCCTCCCTCTCCTCCGAAAGCCACAACTGGGAAGGAGGCAAGTCACCAGGAGTGGAGTAAGAGAAAGCTGGGACCTGGAAAGGACTGGTAAAGCAGCAGCATAAGGCACGAAACTAGTTTTTGCTCTCTTGTACTCATGCACAATGGGATAAAAAGGAGTTCAGAATAACATTCTTTGTGAAGATATCTGTATGTGCATCAGAAAGTTCACAGGAATTCAAGTCGATGAGTCACAGCATTGACTCAGAGTTACCAGCTGCTGAAGAGTACTTCACCTTCTACCTTCTGAATCAAAACCAGTTGGCTGTGAGACTGCAAATGCGGTGGTGTTGACTATCTCTGCTAAACACATTCGCTGGACTATGCCATGTAAAGACCAAGTGCATCATGCAAGAAGAAAATAAACCTGAACAGAAGCATTGCTTTTATCAGGGTTGTGCACGAAGGCTCCTATCAGTAATGAAACCACACCAGGCAGACACAGCAAAGCCTGGCATCTGCATCACAGAACACTTAATATAAGTGTTATAAAAACACAAACTAAACAAAACAAAAAAATAAACAAAAATGTACGAAAGGTGAGGAAGAGAAACTGACAAAAAATGAAGGGAGGAGAATTTGATTCTCATATGGTCATTTCAGGCTCACACTGAAAATAAGAGGAGGGCTTGGGAGGATTCAACTTACGCATACACTGCTTATCAGGATCCTTGTTAGGGCATTTAAATGCTAAATTGAGATTAATTCAAGCATATAAGATACTGTATGAAAACTAGACAGTTCATTAATTGAATATTTTTGAAAAAGAATATTAATTACGGTAGTGGACTATTGCAAAAGCAAGTGTGCAAAAGGATTTCGTCCTATCACCAAATATCAGTTATTAGCCTAAGCATCAGATCAAGAGGTTTTTTGTATCCTATCCAAAACATATCTGTATATTCCTTTGCTAATGCACATTTCCAGTTTTGTTCCATTTTAGTGAACACATTATCCTGTGATAGCTGATGAGCAGAGATAAGAACATGTTGTGTTTAAAAACAGGAAAAAAAAGAAATGTTAGAAACGTTACAGAATGCCACCTTGTTCCTGAGTTGGTAGAAGAGATCATCAGCAGAGCCCAATTTATTTTCTATGACATTCACTATTCCATATACTGTTCCTGCTCTAAAACATATATCATGTTCCTGCTCTAAAACCACTTTCATTATTTCCACTATCCTTTCACATGGTATTCTATTTATATTTTCCATTATTTTGTTCCTAACTCCAAATCTATTTCTATTTCTGCTATTTTTCTTTAGAAATTAGTTACTAGAATTAAAGCAGGGTATGCAGGGACAAAAAAAGTATTATCCTATTACAGAACATCACAAAATGTGACAGGAAAATAAGAGGAAAAAAGTTATTTTGACTGCCATGCCAAGCCTATGTTTATATTGTCATCCGCAGTAATATAACAACTCCTCCCCTATCCTATTCTTTCAAAATAAGGTTTGAGTTATTTTGCAATAATAAAAAAAAAAAGGCAAACGCCTTCTTCTTCAAAAGGTGCAATACAGAGACGTGTGGAAACAACCAGGAAGCAAAGAAGCGCTAAACTATCAATCTTTCACTATGCAGAAACCTTCTCATTTGTTTACACTTGCTCTTGTTGCATAATTCTTCAGTCCACCATTACCAGCATCAGTTTTAAAGCCTGGATTAAATCACACTCATCTTGGAGTCTCTTTGTGTTTTACCTACCATGGGCATGAGTGACTTGAACAGCTAATAAAATTATACCCAAATTTCCCCCTTACGACAGTATATTTCAATTTGTAGTTGTTACTGGTTTTCCTATGCTTCTGCAGGTTCTGCTGCATCTGAACCCTTCATAATGTGAGTGATTAACCCTCACCACGCGCTCCCTAAACTAGACCTCGATGCAATTTCCTAAAGTCTTAGCAAGACCCACCTCACCAATACTTCAACACTGTGCTTTAGGTTTGCTCCCATGTCCTGACCTGCACATGCAGCTAGATTCCAAGGCTGCCCAGGTCCAGATTTTTGCTGAAGCTGGGTGGTCCTGAGTGGGCGGCTCCTGACTGAAAAGCCTGCCTGCAGAGGTAAGAGCTCCTGCTGCCTGGTACAAGCAAATCACTCTGAAGTGAATTCTAGATCGCAGTTTGGTCATCTACTTCACGTCTTAATAAACTTTGACATGCCTCCATAAAGGATGAAAAGTACAGAAGACAGTGAATAAATATAGCAAAACCAAGAAACTATTGTAAACTACTGCTAACTGGCTGTATTATGACTGAGTGCAACTTCCGCTATCAATGTGTGCACTCACGTTTAGGTTCCTGAGGAGCTGAGCTTTATTACATGCAGAGGTATTCTACTATTTAAATATCTGTCCTTAAAGAAAGTTTTTCTCCAAATTACGAGTTGGAGAAGGCAGCATATATTTTCAAATCACACCATTGGCCCAGATACCTGTGTTAAGAGTTATTGAACCAGTGGACCAAGTCACAAAGCGTTGAAAAATGTACATTAATACCACAAACTTCCCTAATATCCTTACTATACATGTTTCTGGACTTCACTATTGGAGTGTATAAAGTACTCTAGGGAGGCAGATATTACTCAGCAACATGATTTACATATCATTAATATGTCTCCCTTTGATTTATACTGCAGTACAAGAAACCAGTCTTGTTTGTTTTCTCCTTAACAAACATAGGTGAAGGGTTTTGCAGTTCAGTCTGTTCTCAGGAAGTGTGGTTCCTTCACCACTTTCTCATTCAATCTTAATACCAAATACAACCTAGACAAATCTGCATTTTCTATGAGATTATGGTATTTTCTACAATAAATAATATTTCACCTGTTTGAGTAACTTTTGTATCACACTTGAAAACCATAATTCAAGAAAAAAACTTACTGTAGGATTATGACTTCAGAAAATAATGTAAATGTTGATTAAGAACATGTAAATTTCTGTTGAGGGCATAAGATTCTTGTTTCTTTCTGAGAATTAACAATATATTTTGGATTACATTTCTCACAGATGTGCAACTTAAAATACCTAACCCTTCCCAACGCCCCTCTAGAATTTGCCAGTAAACTCTGCTACACATTGGAGCTACCTTTTAGTTCTACTAAATTTTAGTAGAAAATTTTAGAAGAAATTTCCAGTGTTCAGTAATGGAAAATTTCTAATCATATGAAGCAGTATTTCCTATCATCCAGAAAGCTAAACCAAAACTTCATCAGCATTGAAGGACCATGCAAGGGTGCTGGTAGACAGAGCAAGGGTACAGTTTCCCAAATATCTGTAGCAGAGCCATGAGTTACTAGGAAAAGCCATGCTGGAAGCAAGGAGAACTGATTTGAAATGACTAAGGTCAGCATTTTCAGTCCTACCATGAAACCAGAATGTGAAGGTAAGGTCAGAACCAGTGACACCCTGGCTACAGGCAGAAAACTGGGTGCAACAAATAGTGCATGGCTGTTAGTCTTCTCAGCTCTAGTTCTGTAGATATGACTTTGCATTTCTCTTTGCCTTGAACCTTCATCCACGCACAGGTGGGAGAAATCTTAGTCTCAGTTTACAGAATCTGAAGCAAAGACCTGAATAATTTATTAAGCTAGATGTCAGTATTTGCCACAGTAGCCTAATAATCAGTATTTCACGTAATACTAATTTCTAACAATTCAATAGCATCTTACGAATGGGTCACTCTGAAATTAGGCAGTTACTGGCTTTGTTTATTAACGAAAATGTAACTGCATAGCAAAAGATTACAGTAGGGGAACAAACACTGGCTACTTTCAGAAGAACAGTTTGCTGATGCATAGTAGCTCCCAATCTTCTTGGTATTTAATTAATCAGTTATATACAACACTTTACTTTATATACAATACTTTAGAAAAATAAAGAGGGAGTCTCTGCTCATAGCACTACTTTATTGGCATCTTAACAGAAATATTTTAGAAAATCGCAGTAGGTGGGAACAATGTTCAAGGGAACAAGTTCAGGTTTACAAGCATTTCCAGAAAGCAAACACCATTTTGCTCTACACATTATGTTTTTATACTTTTGCAACAAAACCTCTCCGAACCACATAGCTGTTGCATATGCTGCTGGATCCTACCTGACATTTTAACTCAGCTTTCAAACAGTGTGATTTTCCTTGAACTTCATTATCTAGTATTTGTCCACTAGTACAGTGGGGAAAACTGATGGGGAAGAAAGATAGCAGGGGAAGGGAGCAGAGAGGGAAGGACTGGGGTAGGACAAATGGGATATACATTTAAACGTGCAGAAACCTGACAGTAAAATGTACGTTCTTTGGTTAGCAAGCAGAAAAAAAAAGAAAGGGACTTGCATACATGATAGATACACACTAGCATTCTAAAGCAGAAGACAAGAATGTCAAGAGTGTATTCTTCCCCCACTGCCAGATGGAAGGGCTATTATTATAAATGAAAGGCAGCAGTAGTGGATGCCAGGCACTTTTGTTGTGTGCCAGATTCTGAAGTCCAGATGTAAGCAGGTTACCCCTGGGACAGGACAGGCTTCAGCTCCCGCAGCAGAACAGAACCAATCACGGTTTTCTCGGTATTTATGATGAGCTGTGCTGTAGAGCTTTCCTTCAGCTCCACTGTGACTAGCATCAGCGACCCACTGTGCACAGTCTTTGCTGCAAACCTGGAGGGGGATGGAAAAAAAAAACAACAAAAAAGAAAAATCAGTGAGGATCTTAAGGTCAAAGACTGCTAATATTTCTTTCTGTGAAAGTTAAATGAGCTCAATTATAATAAAATGCACCCTATTTCTTTAATGCATTTCAGGAGATAAACCATAAAACCTCCATAAATTTTTCAGAAAGAATTTGTTTGGCATTGTGTAAATATTTTTGCATTTAAGAAAGATGAAAAAATTATCATGTAAAGCTGCATATTTAATAGCACAAAGTAAACTCTATTCAAATAAATTTTTTATGCAAATTCTGATCCTTTGGTTCATCTACAATACTTGTGCATACTGGCAACCTGAATTCAGCTGAATGGAGTTTCCCATGGATGATTCTTATTATTTGGTGCTCCAAAGAAAATGGAACTCTGCTAAATATAGTAGAACACTTTCAAACAGCCAAACTGTTGTACTTTCACGGAAGTCCATCCTCCTGCCATCTCAGGCATTAATTCAAACTAAAAATTGTTAAAAGTTATAAACATCCAACAAAATCATTTGAAATGATGGTAACAGCAAGTTACCAAATCACTCCAGCTGTAACTTTATCTCCAGAATATTTAATCATAAAAATACGGAAAAAAATTCTAAATATTTTATAATTATTAACAAGCCTACAAAGGAAGTAAAACCCCCATTGCCAACCAAACAGATAAACAAAAGTTAGGGCTAATGCACCATTACTAAATTCCAAGACATGAAGAATCCACTAATTACATGGAATTAAAAGCAAAACTAGCCTTTTAAGCACCACAATTGACTGAAAAGCGATTTTAGGCACAATGAACTTCTGTCAATCCTGTTAATTCATTCTGCATGCACAGCCAGGCCCAAGAGACTGGAAGGAAGAAGAGGATGGCAACAGCCTCGTCTTCCATATTCCACAAGGAGCACACCATGCTATTTTTTTTTCCTTCCTTTTTTTTTATTCCTCCTTTTTACCCTTGGTTACTTGACAACAACAAAGTTGCTGCACATGGGCTTTTGAAAACACTAACAAGTGTAGAGCAGGTCTATGACCCAGTCTGACCCCACTTTGCAGGGCCAATCTCCTCTCCTCTTTCTGAATGACACGTGTCTGAATCAGAGCCATCTGCCTCAATTTGCGCAACATCTTCAGCCACAATAGGACCCAGTTAGCCCTGACAACAGCTCACAATACAGAAAAATCAAACTGCTGGGCTGACAGCACGCTGTGGGCTATTCAAGAGCAAACCAACTGGTCAGTGTCTCATGTCTGACAATTAGCATGGGCCTTGCAAAGCGCCTACCCGAGCCCGTGGGGATCTGTTTAATTACCATCAACATAAAGGAGGGAGTTTATCAGGAGATACTCAAAAAACTTCACTCCAGACTTAATTAAAATATTAGCCACTTAAGCAGGAAGCAGGTTCTCTTTAAACGAGAAGTAATTTCTCTCTTTTTTCTTTTTAAACTAAGCATATCAAAATCTCGTAACACATTATACTAATTAAGGAAACATGGGGCACTTCTGTAATGTCACCCATCACAGGTCAATCTATTTCTTTTGTCCAGATTATAGATACATTCAAAGACTTCTCTTTTTAATAGGAGGTTCTAAAACAACATTACTACTACAAAAATTATCTACTTAGCTAGTTATGTCAATGATTTCATCTATTTGCGCTGCGACAGTAGAAGATCACTGTTTCTCTTGTTGAATTTAACAGGGGGATAATTATAGAAACAATAGTCTTATTAGTCACTTTATTTACTTAACAGTTGTGTCTTGGGACAACACAGAAGCAGATTATGTCTGAGTAGGCACATAAATCGGTTGGTAGTTGGCACTCCTGCTGTGTTTCATAGCCCCAAGGCTTGATTTTACCCTCTTTTATTAAAACATGAAAGTGATACAAATTCAGCGTTCTGCAAAAGCCAAGGTGGCTCCAAGCATCGGAGATGAGTGTTGCACTGGTATTTTTACACATGGTCTTGCAAAATCACATAGGTGATCAATAGTACTTTTCCACACATAAAATCAATGAAATGTGAGTTTGTATGTGGTTTGCAAAATGTAAGGGGTCTGACACTTGGCAAACTTTACACAAAGTATTAGTATGCATAACTAGCAGTGGCTAATCATTTTGTATCAATGGTCACCGATCTGGAATCACTTAGTGAAAAAGTAATTAGAATGGGATGAAATATTTCACCATTAAAAATGAGTGTATAGAAGAACAACCACACAATGGGTTTACCACTGCTTTTCAACTTTAGAAATCAAAATCTGCTCCTTCAAGTAGGGAAGATAATTTTGTTTCTGAAGAGACTTATAACTTGAATACAATTATAAAAAGAAAAAGCAGCTGACTTTTGGTTAGAAAACATTAGTAGTACAACTGATTTGCTAATTATTTAGATGTTTTAAATATACCGTCATTGAAGGATTTGGTAAATAGCTGGTTTTTCGACTAAGTATATGTTATTGCATTTACATGCTTACTCTTATCATAATTCTACATGCATCTTCCAAAATGTGTGCTCTGCTCAACTAAATACTTATACTAGGAAACTGTTAAAAGATATTTTATCAGCAGAAATTAATCACTCTGTAGAGTAGGTATTTACTCTTTGTGAGAAACTTTTATTTTCCCCACAAGGTCTGTAATTATTTTTCACTTTTTCTGAAAGTTGATACTGCCTTAAAGGTTAGAATTTGAATTTAAAAAAAGAAAAAAGATAGTAAAAACAATCAGAGCCCATGGACTGAAATAAGCCTTGGAAACTGCTCTTTAGTACATTAAAATCCAGCTTGTAATTGGTTGTTTGTAGGTCCAGAAGAAAGAATTTGTCTTATGGACAATTCTTAACATAAGACATTATATTATGAGTATGCTTCTGTTGCAAAAAAGGATGCATCAATGAACACGAAAAAAAAAAAGTAAATGATAACGCCATTCAGGAAACAACCAAATATTTACTAACAGTTTCACGATGTCTTTTTCTGCTATACTGCAGTTATTTTCTATTTTTCTTTTTGTGATAATATTAATTTCAAACCTGATTTCACATAATTGAAAACATTCAGGAAGATCCGCAGCTGTTAATATTTTTCTCATTTAATAAAATCAAGACAGATTAGAAATATAACAATGTGAGCAGTATTTGCATATTCTGAGTTTTTCCAAATATTTTTTCTTTAAAAAGGATGCTAAATATGCTGAGGCTATGTGACAGAAGTAGTTCACAGATTATTTTTACATAAATATAGTACCTGTCAGTAGGTAGGGAAATATATAAGAATAATCAAATTCTAAATCAACACCAATAAAGTACTCCATATTTTTAGAGAGTCATTCAGTATTTAAAGAGTTAAAGATCAAGTACATATTCTTGGGGACTTGCCATGAAAATAAGATATCTAATAAGTATAACGCAGAAATATTTGATTTACAGCAGATATAAAGGAAAACAGAGTATCAGAAACCACGATGTGACACCATTTTCCAAACACTGGCTTTGTAATGACGACTAGTCTAACTACAGGCTAACAGTTATTTTCCCTTTATTCATAGAGAGCAGACAGCCTCAATATATGGGAGATGCATTTTTATAGGGAAAGGTTATGAAAATTCCATGCCGGTGAACAGGCAGCAACAGAGTAACTCACTGAAAACCTCCTCTTTAAAATTCAACATTTGAGAAAGTAAATTTACACCTGCACACTCACTATCAGAACATTTGTTTACAGCAGAGCAAGGCTTGTTACGCATAATTCAACAGCACTAAAACATACATTCTCTCCTGTCGGGGGCTGCTCTTCCTCTTTGATTTTTCTATTCAGGCTACATTTTCTTCCTTTTCTGTTCTACTGCTTACCAGAAACAGTGATAATGGCCCAAGAAAGCTAAAACTTTTTTTTTCTCTGCCCTTTCTTTAAATCTTATACATGAAGCCTTCCATTACTGCCTGCTGAAGCAGACAGAATCCTATTAGTAAGAAGGACGATCACAAGATGCAATGCCCTGCCCTAGCTGTAGAAAAATAATTAGTCCAAAGTTGACAAATGTGTAATTAAGTTATGCAATGAATATATTCAAAGGGGAAAAAAACTACTGCTGTGAATTAGTTTTCCTTTTGTAAATACAAAAATGAACAATTGTGAAGTAGCTTCCAATGTATCAACTGGATAACAAAAATATAGTTTCAGTACTCTGAATCTTCACCTTACTCTGATAAATTCTATCTATGTACATGTGTGACTTTATAACTAACATTTCATCTAAAAATTGTCTAAATTACTCACTAGTTGTATTTGTTCTCCGAGTAATCCTTAGAACACAAAAAAGTATTCGGAATAACATTACTATGTATTAATTCTGAGCAGAGGATAGGTCAGATAGGATAAGCTTAATAGCAAAACATAAGCAGAATACTCACAAAAAGAAGGATGCTTTTCTTAACCTTGTGATTTTCACCTCTCAGAAAAAATCCACCTTTCTTTACATTGATTATTAATAATAAAACTGACTATTATGATAATTTAGCATTTTCTTTTTTTCCAGTACATTTCAGGCTATTTTAACACTATCTTAGAATAAATTGTTCAAAATATTTAATTCATAACCATAATATAATTACTTCCAACCCCATTTTGGGGTTTAATAAAATAATAAAATTTTAAAATAAATTGTAATCAAATCTGTTTTTTAAAATTTTTAGTTCTATTTCTGAAATAGATTTTGAGTTTGTCCATAGTTGTCAGCAAGCAGATGCACTGTACCTCAAACAAAAATGCAGGAATTCATGTTCAGTCTTCCGAACTTACTGCCCACTTAGTTCACACATTCAGAAAGATGCTGCACAACTTTTTATCATCCTCCAAATTTACCTTTAGTCTAAAAATGTCAGCATTTTTATATGTAGGTATTTACATCTCTCCCCTAAAACTTCAGCAAGCTAAAAGCTCGAATCAAAATATTTGATCCTGA